AGAGAGAGAGAGAGAGAGAGAGAGAGAGAGAGAGAGAGAGAGAGGGACGGAGAGAGTGTTTTGCGCATGTCATCGTGTACATTGCAGCTTTTACACGAAATGATATTTTTAACCCATGCTCTAGAGTGACGCGATCGCGAAGGACTACACGGTGGGCTCGGGATCTTGGCTCGATGCGCCGGGAGACGCGGTCGTTGGAGCCGCGCGTGTTTCGGACTAACATGCCGTGTCAGAACCGGCTATATTCGTCGGCCTTTGTCGGTCCCAACTGCACGAGTAAAGATAGCCGTGTTCCGTGGCAAATAGAGCGGATTTCAAGCTGCGCCGACCTTGAAAGTGATCGTCACCTGCCACGAGCTTTCTTGGCTCTTGTGTTATTACCCGGCCAAGTATCACAATTGAAGGTGCTCGCACACACACGTACAAGGTATCGATCATGCGTCTCCTCCCCTCGCGTGAAAAGTGAAAAGTCCATTTATTGATACAAACTCGTGGAAAGTGAAAAGTTTCATTGATGAATTCAATGGAACTTTTCACTTTTCACGAGCTCACGTTAGGATGATCGATAGCCAGAGCGCGGAGACTTCTTTTCGCGTCTTTGACATCAAGTTTGATGATTCAATTTTTCTTTATCAGCAGGAAGAATTCAAAGTGCCGATTTGACTTTATCGTTTTATCGTGATAGTAAAACTTAACGAAAGTGGCAAGGGTGGGGGAGAGGCGAACGACTCCGTGATAAAATATATCATGCGCGCCGAGAGATCCACCGAGCTCGCAGCCCGGAAGTTTATATGCGGGGTGTCCGTGGCGTAAATTCCGCCGGTGATTCGACGCAGCCGCGGCTTTAACGGCGAATGAAATCACCGGCTGTATCCGACTACCCTGCCTCGCCTCTTTCATTGTCCGAGTAAATAGAGGATCCTCCGGGACGGTGGCAGAGCTGCTCCAGTTGAGAGGGGTTGTTATTAAGAGGTAGCTGCTGACGTATGAAGGTCCGGTATTTCGTCTGGAGTTTATGCCTCCAGGATGTCAGGGAGATGGCGAGAGAAATTTTAATCGGGAGAAAAATGAGAGAAAGAGAGAAAGAGAGAGAGAGAGAGAGAGAGAGAGAGAAAAGCAGAAAAGAGAGCATTTTTGGCCGAAATGACAACTTTGGTTCGCGGCGAGTTTTTGGGACAGCGTGGCAACGTTTGAACGCGATATTATCATTCCTTTCACTTGTCTCGGTCGAGCGCACCTGTCTCCCCTTTACCGGGCTTGGCACGATTAGCCGCGGATGATTACGTAAAATTGATGCCGCTTGATTCGCTTCAGGATGAAATTCGCTCGAAAGATATCTTACAACTTTTCTCTGCTAAAAAAGGCAAGTAGAAAGTTTCACATGATATTTATAAAATGTTGTAAATACAGTGTACGTCGAGAGAATCTTGAAGTAAACATTATTGTAGAATTGTGTAACCGAGAAACAAATCAATATTCTACAGTAACTGACTATCCTTTCACTTCATACATGCTATTTGTATTTTGAGAACTAAAACATGTTATTGAAAAATTTGTTATGTTCCTAGCGAAATTTACTAGGTTCTTTAGCAAGATATACTTTGCTGACACTACTGAAAACACACACCTGCACATAGAAAGCTCTGCGTTGCTAGAAATAATAAAATACGTAAAATAATAAAATACGTAAAATTCAAGAGAATTTATATAAAAAGAAAGAAAGAATATAACATTCTCTTCGTGTATATTAAAATACGAAGACGCATAATAATAGTTAAATTGTTATCCTCGATTGTTCTTTATGTGAGTATAGATATTATGACAGAAATTTATCATTTTCAAATGCCAGGCGAACACTACGCAAACGCAATACGGTAGAGAAAGTCCTGCGCAATCTTTTGAATTTAATACTTCCTTCTCGCCCGATAGGTTTTTGCCGGGCACCCGCGTATAATACCTGAGGACCAAGGTAATGTAAGTAACGCGCGTGGCTAAAAGGCGAGAACCCGGAGGTGTTAAGAGGAATTAACGTCGGAGGTAACCCGAGCTCCGCGAGAGTTGTCATCGTTGCGTCGTTTTGTTCTGGAAAATTGCGACAAAAATGGCCGCCCTTTCAGCCGGCTCTTGAATTTCGAGAGAACACGTGGGCACACTTTGTGGGAAAGCCTTGCCAAGCGGATAATCGTGTCGGACGTCTCGCGAATCACGCTGCGCGCGACCTCACTGAAAGTCGCGCGATAAGCTTGAACGTCGCGTCGAAAATATCGCGGCGTTTCGCGACACAAAGTCGTGGTAAAGTACACAACAACGCGTTCCCATCGATTACCACGTTGAAACCGTTAATGCGCTTAACGCTAAATTGATCGCGTAGATTTTCGCCAGACGATGGAGTGTGATCCATCAACGCATACACTAGAAAGACGCCCCCCCTCTCTCTCTCTCTCATCCGGGGGTGACCGAGATATTCCGCACGGAGCAAAGTGATCGCGCGGATTATGCCAGAATTTATAACGGCGGCGGTCAGCCGGTTGGATTCGCGCGGCCGACTACTTAAGGGCGCCGTCGACGGAAGTTTCGCGAGTTCCATCGCGAATTAAGCGAAGCGCGCGCGCGCGCGTTCGCTCGCGCCAAGGTGAGAGGTCCGGGTGCATTCGAGTGCCCTGGGAAACTCGAAACTACTCTGAACCGGTCGCACAGTGCATTAACAAAATTGGAGTCCCTCCAACCAGCGGCGTCGGATCGACACTGGGCTTCGTGTTTCGCGACGCGCTCTCGAAAGCCTCCTACCGCCGCGAATTGGCGCGAGCCATAAGCAGCGACTAATTGCCACTTTCTGTTGGCGGAAAAAGCCGCTCGATGCTCCATCCGGTGTTACACACACATACACACACACACGCGCGCGCGCGCGCGTGCAAAGTGTCGTCGCGGCCTGCAGACACATGTCCGGGAGCAGCCGGTCGTCCCGGCTGCCGGTTATTTCGTTCAATTACGAGCTGAGCCAGACCGCGGAGGAAATGTCGTTCGCCGTTCACGCTCCGTACCTCGCGCTCCGCGACGAAGTCGCCGGAATTTTTGGGAACACTCACCACCCAGAGCTAGTTGCGACTCGCGCGCAATCTCCGCTTTAATTTCGCGAAAAGATTATACGACCCGTCGCGAAACCGGGAGGAAAGTACCTCGTGCTGAAAATACGTTCGCGCGGTGCGAGCCGCCCGGTGTTATCTAATTCCCGGCGTTAATTAACTCTTATTCTTCTCTTCAACGCGACGATAAGAATTGCTTCTTCCTTTTATCCCTTTGCAACGCACGCGTCAGTTAGCTCTGGTTCACAAATCTTTCTTTAAGCCGTAAGCAAATTGACCAACCACAATCGATTATTCTTGAAACGATTTGCTCACGGTTCAAAGGAAGCTTGTGGACCAGGGTTTATATTAACAAAGTTGTCATTTAAATGTCTCCGAATAACGCGCGGCTCATTACCTGTGCGATTCTCGTAGCAATTAATACGAAAGCGTGAGAGGAAGGCATGACTCGCCGAGTGTTTTCGTGCGATGCGGCGTACGGACAATTTTCCACGAAAAGCATTTCTCGCGCGAAAGTGAGAGAAAAAAGAAAACTCGTTGCGAATTAGCGCAATCCGTGGATGCAAAAACACACTCGGTGTTATGAAGCACATC